CAGTCTCAACCGAACTCAAGATTCACGAATCTAGACAAAGCGGGAACGAAACTCCCAGTCCACCTGATATTCAATCAAGGTCAAGAACAACCCGACAACGTCGACCCGCTTCGTCTGGATTGGAGTCCGGCAGTCTGGGATGCTAGTTCGTACGGACGTGGCAAGGAAACAACGAAGGGATATGGACTGCCTGTTGTTGAACTCTACGAAGAGCCCGAGAGTCCAGCAAAAGTGCGAGACAGAAGGGGCATCCGGGATGTTGGATTGATTTCAGTTGAACCATCTGAATTCATCATGTGCGAGAAGATGATACTGGATAGAACTTGGGATTCGAACAAACATTCTTAGATGTGTGGCGCGAGATTACATGGCTATGCGGAGCTCACCGGGAAAGTGCGAAAAGTTCACTAGACAATGTTCGTCAGAGTTTGATGCAGGATCCCGTACAATATGGTGATAGAATTAAGATGACTATTGAAATCAAGTCTCTAGCGCACCCGTCACTCAAGACTAGAGACGCAAGATAGTCGCCTCGAATCCAGGCCATCAAGAGAAGGACCGCATCAGATGGCAAGCGCTGCACAACCAATGAGATGATAGGCATTAAAAGGCTGTGGCCACTTTCCTTTGATCATGTGATTGTGTCTTAATCGTGGTTATAGCATTGCAGTCGACGCTACGTGTTATACCGGTTCCACCATGTGAAACTTCTTGTCGTCTTGTCATAGTGTCTGTGGTTGTTGGGTTCCAGACTGTTGTGTACAAACAAGTGAGGGAATCGCTCCTCGATGGAGACTGCAGGACGGCACCTGAGAAGAAGTAGATCAGCAAATCTAGCGGATGTCGTACAAAGAATGCTATCATGAGCTTAGAATACACATCGCACGATCTAGTGATAAAAGATACTACAGGTTCGAGTACATAAGACAGGTTTTCTTTGGTCTATTCCCGAACATCATGTACCCCTTAGCTTGTCACAATTTCATGTCGCGGCACAAGCTGTCAAGCGCTGACAAACGCACACGTCACGCGGATAGAAACAAACGTTTACCACCCTTACCTTCTGGATCTCGGTCACCACCTGAGACTTTGTTTGAGCCGTCATCCGAGCCCTTGACTGATCTTTTGACTAAGCCCTCGACTGAGTCCTTGTACGAGCCCTCAAAACCACCACCTCTAAGGCTGCATAAGAAAAGCAGTGTCTACGAAAAGCCTCGACAACCCTCGACATCAGAGAAAGGAGGTTTTGTGGGGATTTTGATCATGACACCCTCAACAAGGAATGGGAAGGTAGTCTTGTCTAGGCCACACTGCTTAGATATCCTTCCGTCAGAACTGACATCCGCTATCTACATCGATAGCAGTGATCAGATGACGGGGCAAACTGTTTTCATCTAAGGATTGTTGATGGTCATGTTATTCTGCTTCGTTGCAATCAAGACACATAGTCATTGTCATACTGTTTTAGTCTTTTAGTCTATACGCTCCACAAAAGCAGTATCTAGATACTCACCATTTGAGCCCTCTAATCAATGCAAAATTTGGCATTCTCAACAAGCCACAAGAGGAGAACAGTGATTTGTATGATTCTGTCCGCTGACGGAACTAATGTATACACGTCCCGGACTATGATCCTCAAACTGAGTAGGGTAAAGTAGACTGTGCCTCCAACACGGAGCAGACAATCTGATTGACTACGGGATTCACGCCTAAGGGATCTTCAACATGCCGTTGTGAGGTACTAGAACTCCAGCATGAACGGGAAACACCGCTATCCTGAAAGTTGGAGTTCCCGTTTTGATGAATGATCCAGGGTATAAACGTCACTGGTGGATTATGCACAATCGTGACTACAGCTTTGGAGAAGAAGCAAATTCACCTCACGGAACCATCTCGAGCAATTGGTGAAGAAGCCGTGCTACTGTGCGGC